CTTCTTGTCTCTCTGCAAAATTCATTGGCAGATACACAAATCTTTAATTCTTAATCCAAACCCAGAAAAAAAAAACTTCATCATCAATGGAAGAGATCGGGTCAAAACCAAGAAAGTTATTCTTCATCTTCTTCCTTTGTTTTTCCTCTGTTATGGCTGCAGATGAAGACGACATAAGATGCTTAAGAGGACTCAAAACCTCTCTCACCGATCCTCAAAACGCGTTAAAATCATGGAACTTCGACAACACAACTCTTGGGTTTCTCTGTAACTTCGTTGGTGTGTCTTGTTGGAACAATCAAGAAAATAGGGTTATCAATCTTGAGCTTCGTGACATGGGTTTATCTGGTAAAATCCCAGATTCTCTTCAATACTGTGCGAGTTTACAAAAACTTGATCTTTCTAGTAATCGATTGTCTGGTAATATCCCTAAAGAGTTGTGTAATTGGTTACCGTTTTTGGTGTCTCTTGATTTGTCGAATAATGAATTGAATGGTGAGATTCCTCCTGATTTAGCTAAGTGTAGCTTTGTGAACTCTTTGGTTTTGTCTGATAACCGGCTTTCGGGTCAAATCCCGGTTCAGTTCTCGGCTTTAGGGAGGTTAGGGAGGTTCTCTGTTGCTAATAATGATCTCTCAGGACGCATTCCTGTCTTCTTTAGCTCACCGAGTTATTCCTCTGATGACTTTAAGGGGAATAAAGGTCTTTGTGGTCGTCCTTTGTCTTCGAGTTGCGGTGGATTGAGTAAGAAGAATCTTGCGATTATAATTGCAGCTGGTGTGTTTGGTGCTGCTGCGTCGATGTTGTTGGCTTTTGGGATTTGGTGGTATTATCATTTGAAATGGACAAGAAGACGAAGAAGCGGTTTAACGGAAGTAGGAGTTAGCGGTTTGGCGAAGAGACTTCGTAGTCATAAGCTTACTCAAGTTTCTTTGTTTCAGAAGCCTTTGGTTAAGGTTAAACTTGGGGATTTGATGGCTGCAACTAATAATTTCAGCTCCGGGAACATTATTGTTTCGACCAGGACTGGAACAACGTATAAGGCGCTTCTTCCGGATGGTTCAGCGCTTGCGGTTAAGCATTTAAGCGCTTGTAAGCTTGGGGAGAGGGAGTTTCGGTATGAGATGAATCAGTTGTGGGAGCTTCGTCATCCTAACTTAGCGCCACTTCTTGGATACTGCGTTGTGGAAGAAGATAAACTTCTTGTTTACAAGTACATGTCTAATGGGACGCTTCACTCGTTGCTGGATTCAAATGGGGTTGAATTAGATTGGTCTACTCGGTTTAGGATTGGTTTAGGTGCTGCAAGGGGTTTAGCTTGGCTTCACCATGGATGTCGACCTCCGATACTTCACCAAAACATTTGTTCAAGTGTGATTCTCATTGACGAGGATTTCGATGCAAGGATTATAGATTCAGGGCTTGCAAGGCTTATGGTTCCCTCGGATAACAATGAGAGTAGTTTCATGACTGGTGACTTAGGAGAGTTTGGTTATGTAGCTCCCGAGTATTCCACCACAATGCTAGCTTCACTAAAAGGCGATGTATATGGACTCGGTGTTGTCCTTTTGGAGTTGGCCACAGGGCTAAAAGCTCTAGGACGTGAAGGCTTTAAAGGAAGTTTGGTAGATTGGGTGAAACAGCTTGAAAGCTCAGGAAGAATCGCTGAGACATTCGATGAAAACATTCGAGGGAAAGGACATGAAGAAGAAATCTTGAAATTTGTTGAGATTGCTTGTAACTGTGTGAGTTCAAGACCTAAAGAGAGATGGTCAATGTTTCAGGCTTACCAGTCATTGAAAGCTATTGCTGAGAAACAAGGCTATTCGTTCTCAGAACAAGACGATGACTTCCCTTTGATTTTCGACACGCAAGAGAACGAGGCAATGTGAAAATGAACCTTTATGATGGAGGAGGAAATAAGAGTATTACCAGGAGTATAATTATTTGTTGTCTATATTTTCTTGCACTACTTGTAGAGAGACTTTATTGTAAAAACAGAAGTGTATATGTTATTTGTTTTCTCCTGTATCAAATCTTTAAGACATGTTATGTTGCTTTTGGTGTTTATATCAAACACTAGATTCTGAAGATAACTGTTACAAGAGTTTAAAACATGTTTTGTTTGCAAGTGTGTTCTTTTCTATAGTCTTGGAAGAGTGACAAAACAATTTTTCACTTGTGTTTTCTTTTAAGAACAAAAAGAAAGTGTACAACAGGATAAAGAGAGATTTCTCTGCAGAATCTTACTTTAGGGGTCTGCTTCTCGATACAGTCAAAATCAATCCCAGAAAAGAAGCTAAAGAAGGCAAGAAAGAAAGAGAAAGAGAGGTTATAGCATCTATGGTCACTCACTCCTTTTGAATTTCACTTTGTAAGATGCTATCAAATTACACAGAGAATATAAGATTCCCAAAGTTCACAAGAACCCAAAAATGCAAATGTATGTGATTCTAAAGTTGTGCAAGGACAAGCTTCTATTAAGAAGCAATATCATTGGAGTGGGAGGTATATAATAAGAAACTAACAATCAGTAAATTAAGGGAAATTTTTGATTTTTTGAAAATGGAGCAACTTTAGTTAATGGTTTGCTTTAGCCAGAGGAAACATAAAAAAAGCAAACTTTAAAGTTAACTGATTTATAAAGAAAAGGCAAATAAAGAAAGATGAGGAAAACAGGAAACAGAGAGTTAGATAAAGACATAAGCCTATAATAATTAATACAAATGTTATTACAAAACCCTACAAAGCCCTTAAGAGTCTTTAATATCTTCTGAATGTTTTCAATCTTTAGACACAAGTGTTCCAAAATATAAGAGAGAGCAAAGACTTCACCTTCCAAAATGCTACAGAGTAAGAAGAGACCTTTCACAAAGCTATGAGTTCATAGCATATCTCTGAATCTGAAGTTATGGATTACCCCAGAAAAAATAGTAGCTTCTTGACGTGGAACTGTAATTGAGAGGTCACATACTTCACTGTGTCTCGAAACGGTAGGAAAATAACCGAAAATGAACGAAGCCCGCATGAGATGAAACATTACAGTTATATCATACTCTTGGTGGCCGTCTCGATGTTTCTGTTTTCCTGAAGAAATAGTTTTGAAACAAATGTATAAGTAAAGTTGAGTTCTTTAACTAAAGTGGTCAAAGTTCTTCACAAGTGCCTTTAATTCTCTTAAGGCATAAAAATTAGATAAAGAAGAAGCTTTTACTAAAACATGATAACATTATCTGCTTTCAAAAGACGAGTTCTTTAATGGACACAAAATGTATAGTGACACTGAAAAGAAGGAAAGAACAAGAATTCTGCATGCTAATGATCTTTTTAGAAACCAGTAATTATCGGTATCTGTGTAAAGTGACACCCAAAAATCTTGAATTGAGGAAACACTAATAGATTTTGTATAAACGTACTTAAACCAACTTCAAGACAAAAATTCTCAAAAGGCTTGATCTCTGATAGCAAACAAACTCAAAGAAAAGACTATAGAAGGTTAAAATTCGAGAGAGAAGATTGAGAACCTGTTGTGGATAGGATCAGGTCCATTTGGAACTTTTCGCTTGCTCACATGAAACAGATTCGCATCCTTACCACTAAACCGCAAAGTCTTGAGATGTTCTGTTGATGGAACACTTGGTGCAGAGTTTGCTAAGATACCGACAAGAAGAAACACAATCAAACCCAAAGACACAACACCTCCAACCAAAGCTCTAATGCCATTACCACCCATACTGCAACCGATGTCCCTACAGCTTCCTGTTTAACATAAACAACTGACCAACCAAACCCAAGAATAAACTGAGCAGAACATCCATGATGTTGGTGAAGTGACTGTCACATAAATAGAGAGAGAGATCTTTGGACAGAAGAGGCTCAAAAAAGTGGAAAGCGAAATGGGAAGCAAAAAACAAGCATTTAGGTTGTTTTTATATACCTTGGAAGACAAATCCGTGATTGGCCCTATTTAAAGATGAAGCACACAAAGCAACAATATACATACGTAGGTGTCCACGTAGAGAGAGAGAGGAGGCAAGAGGAAGTGAAAGTTAAGAAAAAACATATCTTTATGTAACATATGGGCCCGTTGAGTACCTTTTTCTTTGCTTTGATTTGTGAATTTTCATGCAGCAAACCATTGGGGACCTCACAAGCTCCCTTAACTACATATATTTTAAGCCATTTTAAAAGCAGAGGACAGTGTACCTTTTGTGACTGAGTGTATTAGCAAGCCTACTACTTTCCTTACCACTATCTTAAAATCACTTGGATGTTTCCTTTAAACAATAACAAAATCAATTAAGAATGTAACAAGACACAAGTAAAATAATCAAACCTGTGAAAAGGAGCTAGAGCTACATTTTTTCTTCCTTGTTAAGTATTCCCTCCCTACCAAAAGCCAATTAGCAGTAAAAAAATGTATGCTTCTTCTTCATAACCTTTAAACTATAAACTAAAGCAAAAAGATTTAGAAACATATCCAAATTGTAAAAAAAAAAATCTATATCTGATTGACAGCTAGGGAAGATTGAGCCAGTTTGTTTCCATGACACAAGCAAACTTCCTTTTGGCCTTGGTGGGAAAGAGAAGCTTGCCTTCTAACATAGTAAATCCAAAGTTTGAACAGACCTGGCCCCACAATTTCGTTACTATATATCTGTTTCCCCTATATCATTTAGGGATCTTACACATGGTCAGGATAGTGTCCTTATAGTATTGATTCTCACAGTGATTGTGTGAGCAAATCCATGCCAGTATTGCACTCTAGAGGTGTCAAGTTACATGCTCTATTGAAGAGTTATGCACCAAAGTAGATTAAACTAGAAATAAAGAAAGAATGATTCAACACATACCTCAGTTACGTCACTTTCGGTAAGGTTTCCTTTAATCCGAAGTGATTCTTAGGATGGTATTGATGTATACAATACATACATACATATAGAAATCATGAGTAGCAAGTTGCTCTCTTAGACCTTAAGGGCATCAAAAGAAGCCATATGTAATGGAAAAAAGGAGAAACTCTTAACTGACTTCATATCTCAAACTGTAAACAGCTATATCTCTACTTCACAAACATACATGGCGTCAATCTAACAAAAAAAAAAAAAACACACAAGCCGACATACGCCATTACCGATTTTAGAACTATCATAAGACTGCAACTTGTATCCATCTTTAGGATTTGGCAACAAACAAAATGGAGACTGATGGACAAAAGCACCTGCAAAAATTTAACCTGAGGAACTAAGAATATGTGACATGAAGAAACAGAACTGAAAACAAGATGATCATGTATCCCATGACAGAAGTAAATGCTCCTAATCAAAGCTTTTAAAATGTAACAGCCAGAGTAGTAACATATATATATATATATATACACATTTACATTTGAAACACTTACTCTAGTATTTGAAGGATGGAACAAACTAGCTCTTCAGTCACAGCCTCTGTTAACCGGAAAAATGGCCAGATATAACTGGTGAGGTTCACTGTGGCTTTAAGATTTTCTTGGCTTCTGAGCCCATTTTGGTCCATATATGGCCAGATGTGTCCGGCCAAACCTTCGATCAGTCATCTGTAAGAAAATTTTCTCATCAACATTCATGCAAACCCCATTCATCAACAAGTAATAATAGGGAAATAATTACCTTTTCAAGGCATCCACATGAATCAAGCATTGTTGTTCGTGAAGGGTACTCGACCAGCTAGATCAGATTTTTTCCAGAAGAGCATGAATATCACACACTGACCCAAAATCCTTATAAAAAGGGAAATACATAGCCACTCACAATAAATGTATTTTCCCCAATTGCTGGCGACTTAGCAATCTGATCCATCAGAACCTCATAATCAACCTCCATGTAAGGTGGAGTAACGCTGATATAATCAAACGCTCCATCCTTACCTGATAGTAAAGAACAGTCTTCATATAGGTACTATTTAATGCTGAAGTTCGGTGATGAAATTGACAATAACGTCTTCAAGACTAGACATACCTACTAACTTATCAGCACGTTCCAAGAAGTTTTCAACTCGAGCAGTGTGGATAACAGAAGTATCAACAAACCCAGTGTGTTCCAAGTTTGGTTGTAGAACATTTGTAACAACCCAAGGATCCATCTCAACAAAATGTGCCTGTGGAGAAGTAATTCAAACAAATGTTTAGTGATCACCTAAATCTAAGAATATCAAACAAAGATCATACAATCACAGTTACTTATTTCTTTGCTACCTCAGAACATCCTCGACTGATTGCTTCAATTCCAACAGACCCTGTACCACTATACAAATCCAACCACCTACCAGGACGCAGAGACGTTGGACAACCACCGGCAGCCTAAAGAACGACGAAAAGGGTCATATTAACAACTCAGATACCAACAAACGCAGAAGCTCCTAAAACTAGTCATCATTTTTCACTACTCTTACCTGGAGAATTCCAAAAGCAGCTCCTTTAACAACTTCCATCATAGGTCTCACATCCATTCCCTTAAGAGAAAGCAATTTCTTTCGTTTCGCCGTTCCTGCAAGAACCTAAACACTCGACACATTGAAGAAACCCAACAACAAAAACCCCAAATAAAAACACAATGATACAAGCAAATTCACACCTGAAGTAACCTATGAGTTGTTCTTGGCTGTACAACAACAACTTCTTCCGCTTGTTGACCATTCCTTCCACTCATTTTCTCTTCTTTCCTTCTCGCCTTCTACAACAAGAACTAAAGTTTCACCTCTCAACATTATCAGAAACCAAAACGAAACAATAATGGAAAAAACAAACCTTAGATTGAGACCCAAAGTCGTCATTAGCATCATAACCATATCGTTCCAGCAACAATTTCTTATCCTCGCTTGCTAAACCAGTTCCTGAATCTACAAACCCACAAGACATAAACTGAGAAAAGACACACCTTTATGAATGATTTTATGAAAGATGCAAACTTTCACACTTTTACGGCTCGAGACGACAGATTTTCGAATACGCAGTGGAGTAGAAACCTTGAAGAGGTGAATTTGAGGGAAAGAAGAATACGAGACACCCAAATTCTTATTGATTCCTAGTGGAGAGACTATGGGAGATGATAACAAAACCGCCATAGCTAAAAAAGTTTTCGACTTTGAGCTTGCAAAGAAGAAGACGAATGATAGATATAGCGCTAAACCCTCTTTTAGAGCCAGAGGATTTGTTCCTCTATCAAAAAGGTGTCCAATTTGAGTTGTGTATTTCAAGAAACTTGGTACTACTACTAAGTACTAATAAGAGAAGAGATATAATTTATTGAAAAATCATAGTTCTTGAAAATCATAAATCAGTTACAAGATAAGTAACAACAACAATAATGAAAAGAAGAGATCTAATAATCGAAATCATTCAAGAGTTGAGGAAATTGTGATAGCATCTCTTGGTCTTTATCCAATATTTCGTCCACGAATGAACTCGCGGAATGACATGTTACCGAGGCGTTTGAATCGATGTTCTGAGAGATGTATTCGGCTTGGTTGTTGAAATGATGCTCGTTTTGCGCGAAAGTGAGGTCGCTTGTAGCTGAGGATCCCACTACTTGAGGAACCGGATCCGAGAGAAGGAAATCGCTCCAGTAGAAGTTAGTAACCGGTGTTTGAGGCACTTGGTTTGGCTGAGTGATACTAGCTGAAGATGATGAGGAAGAGCATGAAGATGTGGTTCCATTGAGTAGATTACTTGGATGGCCAGAGAAATGAAATGGAGTAGTTTGGAATTCAGACGAAGCGGAATTTGTAAACATCATTGAAGAGTTGTAATAACTCTCATGGTTTGTTGTTGTGTTTCTCATCATTTCCCAGGCTGAGTTAGATTGTGTGAGTATAGAGTTGTTTGATGGTTCTGTTTTGAAGGATGCATTTCCATGGCCACTAATGTTTCTGAATTCTGAAAGGACTTGAGAAACTGGTTTATGAGTCACCGGATCTATCCCCATTTTCATCAGTTTCTTCTTCAGCTTTGTGTTCCAATGGTTTTTCACATCGTTATCCGTTCTTCCTGGAAGCTTTCGAGCAATCGAAGACCACCTGAAAACATCAGAGATCATTATTAACAATGTGAAAGTATGTTTGATAGATTCTTGTAATTGTGAAAAAGTTAGTTAGCAATTAGGTTGCTTCATTTAATTACCTGCTGCCAATGATTCTGTGACACTCAATGATAAGCTCTTCTTCTTGGGGAGAGAAACTGTCATGTTTAAGGTCAGGTCTTAAGTAATTAGTCCATCTCAGTCTACAGCTCTTTCCGCATCGATTCAGGCCTACACCGAATAACGAAAAATACTCAAGACTTGTATAAGGAGATGAGATTTCTTAAAGAAGGGAGAGATATTTGAAAAACCTGCTTTTTTGGGGATCAAACTCCAGTTTCCTACACCATGGATAGCAACATAAGCGAGGATCTTAGCATCTTCTTCCTCGGTCCAGAGACCTTTCTTGACATTTGATTTGTCACAACAAGGAGGCCTTCCCATTTTTTGATGTATTCAGACACAAGAGAGAAGATGAAGAAGAAGAAGCTGAGAAATGTCTGAAAGTACAACAACTAAGGCTTTATGGAAATAGAGTGATGCAATGCAAAAGCTCTGAGACATGTCTAGGGAGAGAGAGAAAGAGAGAGAAGGTGAGGATCTCATGCTTGAAGGCTCCTAATTAACGGTAATTGCATGATTGTTACACTTCATTAGAAATATAGAGAGTCTCGAAGTGCATGACGTAGTTTTCACAGCCATGTACACTACAAATTGTATAATGATACATAATTCAGTTATCATGTATTGCTTGCTTGAGGTTGATGATAAAATAAACTGACTTTTATCAAGTTTTGGTCTAATTATGAACCATAAGGAACATAACTGGTAACATAGAATCAGAATTATTTTTTTAGTATATTGTTCTATAATTCATTCTATTGACGAAATGTTTATCTACCCGAATGGCGAAAACCCGGTTTTTCGCTATACAAAAATTTTGATCCTTTAATAAAAGCTTTGATTTTACTTGTTGTCGTTGTTCTTAAGATGAGCAAACGTTGCAACTCTTTCTGCAATATCCATGGTCTTTGTCTGAACCAACCATGTATGTTGGATTCTTCTGGCATTCCCCTGCCTTTGCCCATTTTTCGCAGCTCACATTCTCGTCCACACATCCAGATTGCTTACTAAACGCTCTGTCGAATGATCTAACATGAATCCATCTGGTTGCTGACCATTTCTCTCCCTCAACCACCGGACAGCTTCCATGTAAGCTATTTGAATCTGTGGTTGCATTTGGGTGTAGATTGAAGAACAACAATGCGTCCCCTTTCCTTGGTTTCACTGCAATGAAAGATATTCAGATTAGTGCAATATACCATTTCGAGAGATAGTTGTACCATTCATTATCACTGAATCATACTACTACATTTCCATTTGTGTTGAACTTTTAATTTACATCTTTTCACATTTAAACCAAACGCAGGTTTAGGATACAGTATTCTACATCAAGCTATATACAGTGATTTTACCTGCATAGCCTTGTTTTGCACATTCGGTCCAGCTATCATCTTTCAACTGAGTTGTTTTACCCTATAAGAATGTGTGATCAAACTGAAATGAGGCTACTCAGGAAATAAAATCGAAATATTTGATGAAATTTATGGAACCAGAAGTAATATTTATCTTTACCTTCCACATGGGAAACACTGTTTCTCCTCCCTTTTCAACATTGGACAAGTACATCAATACAGTGGCGATCCGATGACCACCGAGCTCTAGATTAGCCTGGTCGTGAAAGTAGTCAAAATGCGGTTCATATTTTTGACCATTCTCATAATGCAGTATTTGCATCGATTCCCCATTTTCTAATCCGCGACACAGAAAAAAAAGAAGAGATGAGAAGTTGTAAGCTACTAAAGGGCAAAGGCTAAAGTAAGAAACAGAATTAGGAAATATATGTACATATGGTCGGAAATACCTTCGGGAATAAAGGTCCACGCAGCAAGTTTTGCCTCGACATTTGCTACAATATCATCCTGCACAGATAGAACCTTATCATTCAAGATCAAAGGTCAACAACCAGTGAATCACACAGCCTTTAGAATATCCAGATTTGCATTCAAGCTACTACTTTATCTAACCGCAGAAACAGAATCCCATAGTGTTGCAGAAAAATATGATTAACTGGTCCAAGCATATATTAGTAACAGCGGACAAGTCTGTCTAACTAGTGAAGTAAGCTAGCCGAATACAGTACATACAAATGCAACACTAGACCTCATAACAGCAATCATTCTCATAAACTCAACTGATTGAGAACGAAAACCAAACATAAAAATCAATCCAGATATAAACCACAGCTTCTAACAAGTCATTCGAAAGCTTTACTATAGCCGAAAGATATGTTTTGAAGTTTTAAAGTCACCTGTCTTTTGGATAAAAACATTCCAGAACTTGTGCGTACTTCACTCTCAACACTCTCACCAGAATCATTATCAGCCACCATTGACTTCTCAAGCTTTCCTTTCGCCTAAAAACCAAATGTCACAATCACAAAACATTCCTTGGCTCATCATCATCATCATCACTACTACTTAAACATCAACACAGAAAAAAAACTTAAGTAAATGTTTAAGATTTCAATACCAATTTGATAAAGTGATCACATTCCTCATCAGAAAGAAACCCTTTATACAAAAAAGCTCTGCAAAAACCACAAAAATTAACACAAAACCAAAAACAAAGATTCAAAATTTCAGATAACACACAAAAGCAAACAAACCTAGGAGTCCAAGAGAGTTGAGTAACACGAGTTGGATCAAACCCAAAAGAAGAAGCACTTGTTTTCATCTTTATCACTGACCCATCTCTGCAAAATATAAAATTTCTCAGTCAAAACCAAAATTCGAAGAACAGAATCGAATCAATCTCAAATCAAAATCAAACCTATTGTTACTCGATCGAGTGAGGAAGCGGTTAGGAGCAGATGAGATTTTGGAGAGAATGAAGAGAAAACAGAGGGAAAATGCGAGAAAATTCCGAGAATCCATCGGGAAAAAATTCGTGAGAAAGACTTGTTGGTGAAGAAGAAGACCAAGACGAATTGTGTAATTGTATTCTTCTTCGTAGTCTTGACCCAAAAGTCTTTCTTCTTTTTAATTTGTTTCCCATAGTTTTGAGATTTAACAGTTTCATCCCCTTTTGGTGTATTTATGACGCCGACGGTTTTTAATTCCCGTTGACTTAGTTAGTTTACATTTGTAGGTTGTTTTAACTCTTTTTACCGGGTAACATTTTTAATAGAGTATTTCTTTTTGACTAATGATTAAATTTTCCTATAAAACTGTTTTATTTTCCTAAAAAAAAATAATAGTAGACATTTATATCCGTACAATAATCCTACTGAACAACAAAGAAACAAAAGAGAATTTTCTTATAACTTCTTATTGCAGTTGTGGTGTCATAACGATCGAATTAGATTGTTTATATAGACGTAAAAATATTTTTACTATGTGTGTATAGTGACGATCGGTTCCACACAAATTAATATACCAAAAAGATTTCACTATGTATTTATTGCGTTCGCAGCTTCTTTTGACGTTTACAACAATTTTTGAGTTTTTAAATATTGGATTTTCTTTCTTTTGAGATATATCCTTTGAGATATTTCTTTTTGAGAGATGATTTACAATTTCAGATATGGGATTATGACGACTCAAATGTTGAATTAGATGATGGATGCATCAAGATTTGAACAGATTTCTTTAAACATCATCTCCATCTCTGTTCTGCGGTTATTAGCCTCTTTCTCTCACTCTTGAAGACGAAGATAGAGTTCGATGATGATGGTTTTGTTCTCTTTGGATATGAAGATTGTTTCTTTGGATCCAAAGTTATAGTTTGGCTGATCTTTGATGGGCTATGGCTTTTGTGGTCGAACCTTTTCATCTCGCCAAGAACGATTCATTGGAGTTCTCAAATTCGAGAATATCGATTCCATCGACTATGCTTGTTGTGTCCATTGGTGTTTTGTCAGGATATCCTGTTGAACACACTTTCAGATGTGGTGTGGTGGCTTTGGATGCAGTTAATCTTACATCATGGGAACAAAAGAAATCATCGACTTCCACATCAACAGAATGACTGTTTACCGGCGTCACCTGAAGAAACTAACAGATTGATTAATCTGTTAGCGTGTAAGACTTATCTACGATAGAAAGCAACGTCTCTTTTCACTTTTTCGATTACTTTGTTATACTCAAGTATTGGTTGTATGGTTTCTAAAGCTTCAATTTGTATGCTCAACGTAATACTATTTGTATTCTCGTCTTCAAATTAAAAAAGAATGATGGTAGAAAAAAAATGATGAGGTCTTGGTGTCAGGCATTGTGGTTTTGAGCGGTTTTGTTCTCCATCTAAGTGATGTTTCTCCTGCTAGTTCTGTTAGAAAATGAATGAAAATGAACAAAAAAGAAAGAAAAATGACCAAAATGAGGAACCAAGAAGAACATAGGAATTGAACAAATGGTTATGGTAAATTGTTACCAAAAAGTTGAATAAATATTTATCATAATAATTAAATCATTAAAAAATTATTTATTAAATTTAGTTTATAAATTTCATTTAAAATTAATGTTTTATATAAATTTAAAACAAAATATAGTATAAATTCAAATATTTTATTAAAAAAATAATATAAATTTTACTTGAAAGTATTTATTCATTTATTTAAGTATAAATACTAATTTAAAATAAAGTTATAACATTCATTTAAATTGAAATTTTTGAGAAAAGTTTTTATATATATAATTATATAAGAAAAATACCAAAAATATTTATACATAGAATGTAAATATTATCATAAAAGCTATTTTAAAATTATTTAATAATTAAAAACGAATTTTATTTTTTTGTTTCTCTTTGTTCTTCTACAATTTTGGGGAGGAACAATCTTCTTCTATGGTTCTTTTTTTTTTTGAGGAATGAAAATGAAAAGTATAGGACCCACATGTCTGAAAATAGAACAAAAATTCCTTACAAATGGTAAAAAAAAAAAAAGGAACAAAGAGAAACATGATATTCATACTCATTCTTTTTCTCAAAATGGTTACCAATTTGAGCCAACATCAGAATTGGTTATGACCAAAGTTGATGAAAAGAAGATTTGTTCCTATACATGATTTGGATTGTCTTTTAGCTGCTATTACAAATAGACCATATCTTCGATTTGTTTAGCGAGCGATCGTGGAGTATTGAATCTTTATCATTCCGTGTTTGTCGGAATCCATTTAGATTTATTGGTGAATTTGGTAACTGGATGAAATTTGATATATATATATATATATATATATATATATATATATAGTAAAACCTCTATAAATTAATATTGTTAGGACCATAATATTTTATTAATTTATAGTGATATTAATTTATTTATAAATTAATATTTATTAATTTATAGTATAAATTAATAATTATTAATTTATAAAGGGATGTATTTTAATTCTTAAAATTTTAGAAAGAAATAGATTTATAAATTTTGTAGTTTTGGACTTGAAATTTTAATAGTTTTAAAAAAAAAAATTTCAAAAATAAATTAGACAATAAAATTACAAAGATATGTGAATTTATTTATAAAAACGATATACGTAAATTCAAATTAATGATTAATGACCTCAATTGTCATTTTTAACAGGTATAAGACTATTGAAATGAAAATGATGTATATTCAAAAATTTAAAACTTACAGAAAATCTTGACTATTTTCTGATACAGTTATAAAGTATACTACACCATTATAATTTAAAACCACAATAGACCAATTGTTTTATCCAATACAAGTTAGACATGGGTTTTAACGAAAATTCAATTTAAAAAAAAAACAACTAAAAGCATACCTTAGTAAATTTACATGATTATTAATTTAGGATATTAATGGGACCATATATAGATTCTAAAAAAATTATTATCTTATTATCTTATCAAATTTTGTCAAATTTTACACTGGCCCGACTTGGGACAAGACAATTTTATTAATTTATCGAGTATTAATTTGTGGGGCTTTTGCAAAAATGCCACTTTTTCAATGCCTCTTTTCAAAAATACCCCTTTTTAAAAATCTTATAAAAAATGCTCTGAAAAATATAAGATTTACCCAAATATGTATGTAATATTATTAAAACATACACAAACTACATTTCTATGTATCTAAAATCTTATAAATACTTTATAAATACATTATAAATGCATTTTAAATACCTTTAAAAACCTTTAAAATATCTTGTAAAACCTTTGAAAAACCTTAAAAATCCTTTAAAATAACTTGTAAAACCTTTAAAAACACCTTATAAAACCTTATAAATACTTGGATCGAGTCTTCAAGTAGTAGTTACAATCCATAAGTACCTTATAAACCTAATAAAATTTTATAAAAATTTCAGATTTAAAAAGGGACGTTTTTAAAAATGGACATCTAAAAAGGACATTTTTGAAAAGGGCCACACCAAAAGGGATATTTTTAACAATTTCCCTTAATTTATAGAGTATCTAGTATATATATATGTATAGGGCCGACCCAATTTAATTTGCTACCTAAAGAAAAACATCTTTTTGGTCCATCATAAAACACAATTGAAACAATATTACTAAAAATTAGAATGTATAAATTCAAAACTCATCACCTTTAAAAAGGAAATAAAAGCACTCTACCACATAACTTATTGAAAATAATCTAAAATCCTTTTTTCATAAGCTTTATCCTAGCCGGAATTTGATTTGTGTCGTGTCAATTTTAACCGTCTTTTGCAAATATCAGTGAACAATTTGAAATTTAGAGTGAGAGACTCATGCGGCATAGGTCGGCATATATTTTTTTTTTTTTTCTATCTTCTTTGCTTAGCATAGCAACAACATCCAAGCAACATCCGCATGTGATGGGTTTCCATTGGGTAGGGGATTAATTCATTCGAAACCCAAAACACATATAATAAATATAATTTCCAAAAATCATTTTCTGATCTATTTTTGAAAAAACAGTTTGAATAGTTACACTTCATTAGAATTTTTAGAAGTATATATCTCATCATGCTTGAAGTCTCCTAATTAACGGTAATTGCATGATTGTTACCCCCCTTTTTTTTTTTTTTTTTTTTTTTTTGTCATATACATGATTGTTACCCTTGACTATAAATATAGAGAGTTTCGAAGTGCATGACGTAGTTAAATTTAGACAACTATCATTTCGAAGTGCATGACATAATTGTATATTAATGCATAAAATAGCTATCATGTATCGGTTGCTTGAGGTTGATCATGATAAACTAAAAACGGATTTTTATTGAGTTTTGGTCTAATTATGAACCATACGTAACATAACTGGAACATTAAACCAGTAACATAGGATCAGATATATCTATACTAGTATTGTTCTAACTTGTGCCTTCTATTGACGAAAGGTTTCTACTCTGAATGGCGAAAAACCCGATTTTTCGTTATACAAATTTTTTTTATCTTTAATAAGAGCTTTAATTCACTTGTAGTTGTTATTCTTAAGATCAACAAGCTTTGCAACTCTTTCTACAATATCCAAGGTCAGTTTCTGAACCCATCATGTACATTGGATTCTTCTCGCATTCCCCTGCCTTTGCCCATATTTCGCAGCTCTCATGATCGTCCACACACCCATCTGATTGCTTCTTACCAAATGACCTAACATGAATCCATCTGGTTGCTGACCATTTCTCTCCCTCAATCACCGGACAACTTCCATGTAAGCTAGTTGGATCTGTGGTTGCATTTGGATGAAGATTAAAGAACAACAAAGCGTCCCCTTTCCTCGGTTTCACTACAAATATACATATTCAAATAATGTGATATACCATTTGGAGAAATAGTTGTATTTATCATAAACATTGAATCATTCATGCTATATGTGTGTATATACAATGATTTTACCTGCATAGCCTTGTTTCGCACATTCCGACCAAGTATCGTCTTTCAGCTGAGGTGTTTTACCCTATAAGAATATGTGATCAAATTTAAATCCAAATCTTAACTGAGAATTTATGGAACCGGAATTGATGTATGTCTTTTACCTTCCACATAGGAAACACTGTTTCTCCACCCTTTGTGACATTGGACAAGTACATTAGTACGGTGGCGATCCGATGACCACCGAGCTTTAGAGTTTCCTTGTCGTAATAGTAGTCGAAATGTGGATCATATTTTTGACCATTCTCATAGTGCAATATTTGTAAGGCTTCCCCATTTTCTGATCCACAACACATAAAATGATGATGAGAGTAACTGAGTAAGAAACAGAATTAGAAAAAAAATAAAATGTATATGCCTCGCGGAAATACCCTCGGGAAGAAAGGTCCATGTAGCAAGTTTAGCCTCGACATTAGCTACTATATCATCCTGAAGGTTTAAGTACACAAAACCAATGTTAACTTGGTCAAGACTCAAGCGTTTACTTCTTCAAAGAAAAAACATAGAACTAGTCTGTCTAATTAGTGAATTAATTAAGCTAGTCGAATATGATATAAATACCGCATAACAGCGAAAACTACATAGTAAAATTCAAATGTCCTCACCTGTCTTTTGGTCAGAAACACTCCAGAACTTGTGCGTTCTTCACTATCTATACTCTCACCTGAATTATCATCAGCCACCACCATTGACTTCTCAAGCTTTCCTTTTGCCTAAAACCAATGTTCAAATCCAAAACAAAGTTTCTTGATTTAATCATAAACTCACACAGTCCTAGATAATGACAAAATATTCTATATAATTTTATGAAGAGACACGGAAACTTAAGAACATGTTTGATTCTATACCAAGTTAATCAAATGATCACATTCCTCATCAGAGAGAAACCCATTGTATAAAAATGCCCTGAAGACAACAACAATTTTACATTCTTTAACATAACAGAACAAAGATCATGATTACTTAATAATATGAAAATTTAGATACACAAAACACAAACCTTGGAGTCCAGGAGAGTTGAGTGACTCTAGTTGGATCAAAAGTAAAGGAGGAAGATGAAATTTGAGAGAAAATCAAGAGAAGAGAGAAGGAAAATGCAAGAAAATTTTGAGAACCCATCAAGGAAAATATTCTTTGGTAAGACTTTTGAGATTTAAGCGATTTTGTTCCTTATTTTTTTTTTCGTTGACTAGTTGTTTTACTTTAGGTAGGTTCTTTAACTCTTTTTACCGGAAAATAAACTTCTTTTTCTCTTGGTTGACTAATAATAAAGATTTTGAGTTTTCAGATAATAGTGATACTGTAATACCAACCACTCAACCATGTTCCAATATAAAGCATCAATTACCAAGAATACACTCCATTCTTATTCAATTTAAAAATTACAAATATTTAAAATTTTGATTATGAAATCAGGGTATATTAACTTTAAATTAATATTTTCTATTTCAATTTAGATCTGCTTCCAAAAATATATATTTATTTGCATAAAGAAATACAATTTTTTTCTAATATTTCTAGCTAGTATCTTCAGAAAAATATGTGTGGCATCTCTTTTTAATAGATGAGTTTGAAGTTTTTTTTTTATGATAATCAATTAAAAAAGTTTATATGTTATTTAAACTAAAAATTTAATAAAAATGGATTCGATAACCCACGTATCCAGATCCTGTTTTATTTCTTTATTTATTTTGGACAAACTAAATCCAGATCCTGTTATCTTAAATTTTTAACTAGTCATTAAGACTCATAACAACATATCATCTATATTGCATGGAAACGGGAGCGGGTACGCGGAAGCGGAATCGTTTAGAAGCGCTGAAGCGATTTTTTAGAAAATTTTACGGAAGCGGTACGCGATGGAAGCGTATAGTATATATAAAGAATATATATATATATATATATATATATATATATATATATATATATATATATGTATATGTATATATAACTAAATATTAAACATTATATCATATTACAAGTTATATTAACCCCACAAATCTAATAAATAAATTTTAAAAACTAAATTTAAAAATTAAACCAATTTTTACAACAAACAAAATCAAATAATTCAAGAAAAAAATTATAACACTATATTCATTCTTTTTTTAAATAACATCAAACAAAATCGTTTCAAATTATGTATATTATAGGTAAAAATATTATCAAACTCAAGTCTCTCGAAATTAATCTAAATTAATTAATCATTTATAATATCTCTCACATATTAGATTCATGTCATTGCTATTTTCTAAACATGATTTTGTTAAAAATAAAATACAAAGATTAGTATGCAAAATTTTTAGTTTGAGTTTGTTTGTATAAAAATAATAATTTCATGTTTTATTTGTAAAATTGAATTTATAAAATGGAAGCGCAAGCTTCCAAACCGGAATCGTAAGCTTCCAACGAGCTTCCAAAGTGGAATTTTTGGAAACGCGATGGAAGCGAGATTCCGATAGCTTCCAAGAGCTTCCGATTCTGACTAAGATTCCGAAGCGGGAAGCGGACCTCCGACGAAGATTCCGTGCTTCCTAGCATATCATCATTAACAACAAGATTTTGGAAATATGTAAAACAAATTCAAATCAGCAAAATGGGTTTAAAATCTCTCTTACATATAAGGCCCACTAAAGACCCATAACATTAAAGGCCCATTAAAATTTCCGGCTCTGTTTCGTGTACCGTACGTACGGAACAAAACCCTAAATTCTCCTCTCTATTATGGGACAGAGACAACATTTGACCCTTTAAATACACAAACTATAGAAGAACGCAGTCCCTTTCACAAACCCTAGCAGTCGAAATCAAAACCCTAAAACGATGAAGGTGATCTCTGCATTTCTTCTCGCTAAACTCGGAGGAAACGAGAATCCAACCTCAAATGATCTGAAGAAGATCTTGGAATCTGTTGGTGCTGAAATCGACGAAACGAAGATAGATCTGTTGTTTTCTCTCATCAAGGATCATGATGTGACGGAGCTTATTGCTGCTGGGAGAGAAAAGATGGCTGCTTTGTCTTCTGGTGGTCCAGCTGTTGCTATGGTGGCCGGAGGAGGCGGTGGTGGTGGTGGTGCTTCGGCGGCTGAGCCGGTGGCTGAGTCTAAGAAGAAGGTTGAAGAAGTTAAAGATGAATCTTCTGATGATGCAGGCATGATGGGTCTCTTTGATTGATGATTTGGTTTGAAGTTTCGTTTAAATGTTAAGACTTTATGTTTCTGATGTTGGTTTTGTGATGGATCTTTGGGTAATGTTGAGACTTGTGTTTCTGATCTTGGTTTAATTATCTTTGGTGGTTATGATTCTCTATGGTTTTTTTGTTACTTGTGATTTGAGAATTGTGGATGATGATGATGGTTTTAGGATTTGAGATTCTTAGTTCATAGTGAGTTTGTTTTATGTGGTTTGATGTTTCTGGATGGCTAAGTAGGAGTTTTATCATGATTAGTGCTTAAAGATGGACAAAGAGTTTGTTTTGTTAGTGGCTAAGAACACATTGGAGCAAATCTTCTTGATGAGTTTATGTCTATAGTGACTTTGTTTATGTGATTTGTTGGAAATAAAGCTTAGAACCAGAATTGACAAAGAACGAAAGTCGCAGAGCCGTAGAGAATCTACTGCACTTGAGCGAAAAACCGCCTAATCCCGGTGTGCAAGATAACCAAGACGGCTCACTCCAGGGTTCACTCTGCTCTCAATTGTGTTGTGCACTCAACCCAAAAGAGATGAAGCTCTCAAACTCAAACTCAGAAATTTAGAAGAAGAAGAAAATAGAAGAGAGATCTTTTCTACTTGATACCTCGATCGAGTCTCTCCCAAAACTCCTTTTAAAGACCAAAAAAACGAATCTAATCAAGTTAGATTTTTGTGCCATGGGAATCGCTCATTCCCAGCCACCGCGTGGCCAACGAAGTGAAACAGGTCAGAAAATTCAGCCACGTTCTTTGACTTAATCTTTTAGGGTGAAGGAGATTTGACATAACAACAAAACCAACGTGGGTCTTAAGAGCCCATTTCAAAATTCATAAAGCCCAATTGAAGAAACAGACCCAACAATCCCCCACAAGATTTTTTCATCATGGGTTTGGTTTTGGTTTGGGAAGCATTTTTCACCATGGTTAGTGGTTAAAGACGGATAAAGAGTAGTGAGTCAAACTGTGAAAAGGGTTTGTTTTGTTAGTGGCTAAGAACACATTAGAGCATATTTTCTTTATGAGTTGATTTGTATGGAACTATACGAGTTCAGAAGTTGATTTGAGGATCCATTTAGGTTCACACCAAAGAGCTTATCTTTTCTAGATACTTGAGGTAGTTTGGTGATCTAAATATGTTGATTAAAAGCTTGCATTATAACTTATCGATGTAACAAACATATGGATTTTATCAAAGATGTTTCATTTAGGAGATGAATTCTTGGTATTGACACTGGCTGCATGTACCTTCTCTTAGTAACTTGCACTTTAGATTTCACTTGCATAGAGAAAACCAACAAGAGTAGGACCGTTTGATATCACTCTTATTAAATCCTAGGAAACTTGTCAGTCTCACTCTAGAGCAACATTTCTCTATCCAATACTTTCATGGTGAATAACACAATCCATCAACATTTCTTTGTTACTCAGAAACTGTGAAAGTTATTCCGAGGCTTACATATCTTTGGACCTACTCGGTTCTCTACCATTATTGCTGATTGTTAAGCTCTAGGCCTCTAGCTACTTGAATTGGCATTGTTCGAGTGGGAAGGCTCAAAAATTGGAGTTTTGACAAGTTGTCTCTTCTATGTACGATGGAGGAAATGAATAAACAAATGAGAAAAGGTAGCCACTTATGATTTGGGCTTTTGACTTTGTTCTTAATGGGCCTTTAAAAGCCCAAGTTCATGGTTGTCCGTGAGATGAGAAACTGTCTTTTTGGATTCGAAATTCTAGTATTGGTTAATACATAAATGACCTGCATTGACATCATCATCCAAGAAAATGAAAATTGTATGCTCGAGATATTTTGTTTTCCTAGTTTTATTTGAGTATCGAATCTTTAGGTGAGCCACGTTAATTAAGACCCATATTTTTTGTACTATCAACTGAATCTAGTCTAATCATATTGATCTAAGATTATTATCGTATAAAATGATTCAATCGACGTCATTGCAAACGTATATAAAATAAATCAATTGACGTCATTATAAAGAGGAAAGCATCGCTAAGCATGCTTATCTAAGAGTCCGGGCGTACTAAAACAAATTATATGACATCAACAAGACAACCATTTATTTGCACACCAAATCAAATTTTGTATTGTCAAAAGAAAAACCATCAAACTCAAGTTTCTCAAAATTAATTTAATTCAAATTAATCACTTTCAATATCTCACATATAATTCACGCCATTGCAATTTTTTCAAAACCTCATAATTTAAAAATCAAAATGCAAAGATTAGTCTGCAAAAATTTAAAATTCTAAATCACAAGGGTTGTTTTTAGGCTTTTTGTATATTAAATACATATCCAAAATAATTTTCAAGTTTTTTATTTATTTATTTGTGACATCAAATTTTTAAACTGAAATTACAAATTTCTAAAACAGAAACATAAATTTCAAATTTTGTTGAGATTTTTCGGTTCCAAGTCCAATTTCCAAATTTTGTTGAGATTTTTCGGTTCCAAGTCCAATTTCCAAATTTTGTTGAGATTTTTCGGTTCCGAGCCCAATTTCCAAACGGAAAATGGACATCCGATAAAACTTTCGTACTAACTAGATTTAGAGAAAATCTTGGCTTGAAACCTAAGTGTAACCTGCCATCATGTAGGATATGTCATCCTAACGTTGTATACCTTTTTCAAAAGATATTTTTACTTGAGAAAATACGTTTCAACGTTGATAGACAACCAATTAAGAATCAAAGACCTTTCGTAATCAATTTAGGCTTGTCGTCTAAGGTATACTAATTTACGACAGTTGACTAGACTTACAAGGAACAAAATAATAGAATAATTTCGTCAAGAAAAAAATGGTTTTTGGCTCATACTTTACATAATATTTTACACTTAAAATTATTTAAGTGGCTCCTCGCATGATCCCAAAGAGCAAGCCTAGATCGAAAAGTTTCTAAACACTTCACCTAATCCTAGAGACGAATTTAGATCGATTTCGCAAACGACAAAGCCTAGTAAAAATTCCACATCATATTAGTATTAAACATCTACATGTAGTTTCCTGAAAACCAATCAGAGATTTCGTGGCTTCTTCCTCGAAACTCGAGCGTAGGATAAATAGAGAGTGAAGCAGAGAGTTATGAAACCAAATCACAGAGCACACTTACCAAATCACAAGAGACACAAACACAAATAGTTTCGTGTGACACAAGTAAAGAGTTTCGTGTGACACAAGCAACACAAAAA